GAAAATAAAGTGATGTTCAATTTAGTATATTCCGAGATTAATAAATCAAGAACAATTAGTATACGCTAGCTATAAGCAAATAGAATAATACATTTGTCTCATGTACTTCACAGAAGACCTAAACTAATATTACTCTTGTCAAAGTGTGTTTGATATAAAATATTAAATGGCAGATTAGAAAGTATAATGTGAGGATAATAATAAGCTTCTATCAATCAAAGGCAAGAATTTAGTTAAAACATGGGACCAGAAAGTTTGAGTCTCTTAATTAAGCTAATCATACATTGTTTTTCACGCAAAAGATGCAAATATAAAGTTGCTTGCTACAGCTACTTGTGTCGGGAATAACTAAAAAAATAGAGGGAAAAGGGGGAGAATAAGTGGTTAATGTCCATAAATATATGCAGAAGATGCTGAAAACTATATATTTCCTTTTCTGGTGTAGTTATTTACTCCCTCCGTTAGGATTTTAACAGTCGTGATTACTAAAAATAATTGTCTTAAGTTATTTGTCATTTTAGAATTTCAAGACAAAATTGATTAATTTTTTTCCTTTTTTATCCTTAGTAATAATTGTTCTTGAAGATGGAGATAACACATAAATAGAAATATTTAATGAAGAGAGATTATATCTTAAGACATAAATAAGGGTAGAATAGTCCAATCCCTTTCCTAATTAGTTAAGGGGCATTTAAAAAAGAAACACGACACATAATATGAGACTGAGGAAGTAATGAATAGTATTGGCTCTAACGTGGTGTATTTTTGTACTCTCTTTTACTTTTTCTTTGTTAGGCAGTGGGTAGGTTAGTGTAATTAAATCCATATTTTTTATAAAACTCAAACAAAAAATACCAACAAATTTATAATAAACATAGGAGCATGCTCCCAATAGAAAGGACTAATATAATTTTTAGATACTCCTGCCATATAATTGAACATCGTAACTAGATTTGCTCGCTTTTTAACTCAAACCAGAGAAACATTAGGATTTCTCTTCTCTTTAACAAGAAACGACAATCATCTAACGACACTCCGAATTTTACAAGAAAACACAATTGTTTGAGCAGCACATTCAACTATACCTGAGTCATCCAAAAATTGGAACAATCAGTCGAGATCAAAATCCGTATTTCTCAAGTTATTTGAAAGCGATCTTCATTGATGTCACCTGCTCCTTTTAATTATGTTTTATACGAATAAGAAAAGAGGAAAACGAAACCTTAACTGAAAAAAGTACTGTCCTTCCATAAAAAAATTTAAAAAGATATAGGACTTGGGAACTTGATAAAGTTAGGAATTAAAGGAGAAAGAAGAGACATGTGCATATTTTGTCTTAACTCGTTACTCGTTAGAATGAGGAGTGCAGTAAAATGACACATTATTAACACATTATTTCCAAAATGAACTACCTTTTTAATGCTTAAGGGATCGTTTGGTTGGAAAGAAGTTATGCCAGAATTAATTATCTCGAAATTAATTATTTCATTTTTTCATGGATAACTAATCCCAGGATTAATTATAAAAATACTACAATCCCGGGATAACTAATCTCAGGATTAATTATACCGTAATTTTCTACCAACCAAACATGAAATAAACTTTTCTTAAATTTAATCTCAGGATAAATTATTCCTTATCCCTCGTACCAAACGAGCCCTATGAGGTTCTTTAGTTCAAGTTATTCAAGGATTATAATCTTAAAATTATAAGCAAAACTAAAACTTAGATAAGTTATCTCACCCTAAAACTTAGATAAGTTATCTCACCTTTGTCAAGATCTTGGTATAAAAATAATATCGATACATCCAACCGAATACGGATAAAATTTATATCGAGATAATTAACCCACCTAATTTCTTGAGCCAAACAACTCTTTTAACTCTTAGGAACAAGGGGAGATGTCTCACTAAATCTTATCCGATGAATCATGATAAACTACGTACATCTACTAATAAGTATTATAGGAATTAGGAAAGCATGTATACCGTTCTAAGCACGGCAAAGGACCATAGCTAAAGAAAGTGAAAGTAAAAAAGGACAGACAAGAAAGGGTGGCACAAAAAACGAGTAGATGGTAAAAACATTCCATAGGATAACAGGAGTAAACAAAAGCATGAAAGAGGGAGCCTTTGTCCCTTCGTTTTGTTTCCTGCTTTGGAACAAAGATATCCCCTTCTAAATTATTGTGGTTGTAACGTACATTATAACAGCAAGCTTAATCTCGCACTTGGTCGTCAAGCTTTCTTTGTAATTATCGTGATGTTCGAATCAGCTTGTGTGCATAGTAATTAATTTCACCGTGTACCTGCAACTTGCAACACAAATGAGAAGGAATAGTCTAGTAATTTTGTTTCCTCTAGGATGATTTCAATATAAACAGACACGGAGTCAGGATTTAAAATTTATGGATTCGATATTATGATCCCTTTAAGTTATTGGGTTTCAAATTAATAATTTACACATATTCAATAGATTTTATGAGACAAATACAGGCTATGGACCAAAGCTACTGGGTTCGGCCAAACCCGTAAGGCATATGCGAGTTCCGCCCCTAAGCATAAAACTTCATGATTTTCTGCTACTTTATTGACTACTAGATTACACCCTTTTGAGTTTTTATTTTGTGATTAATCAAGATATTACAGTAGAAGAATAAATAATGACGAGGCCTAAATATTTGTCACCTACACGTCAACTATGTGTCAGCAAGGGCTCACCCTAAAGCTTGGGTTTGTATATGCCAGATTAACCAACTTTTAGTAATGCATGAAATCGCCAAATTAAAGAGTTGATCCCTTATCAAAGGAGATAATCAAAGGGAAAAAAGTATTCCATATGAGTTTAATGAAAAAGAACAACAAGTCATGGGGCCTATTCCTATCTCCAGTTAAAGGTTTTTCTGCTTCCAATTCGTAATATGGGACAAGAGATATTAATTAGTACTAATACCATTCTAATGAGAGTCTTGTTTGAGATATCTGATCGTACCAATCTTTTAGTTGACACTATAACGCTTTTATGTTTTGCAGCAACAGAAATTTTCAGGATGATCGAGGAAATAGCCCGTAAGAAAGCTGGTCTTAGTCGAATGTCCTTAAAATTGACGGTATTTAAAAAGTGGCCCAAGAGAACTAGTGATACAGTAGAGACCCAACTGTTCTCGTAGTAGAAATGGCATGGGGTAGCCACTATTTAAGGTGGTATTTAGTTTTTATCCAACAATTCTAATGTTGAGCAAAAATAGCCACTACCCTATTAAAATTAATATGAAAAGATATTTTTACCCTTTCTTCCCTTGCTTTTCTTCCCAAACCCTCAAGGATGGATGATGTACGCTCCACTACCATCATCTACCATGATGGTAGTGGCTATTAATTTTAATATCATTCTGTTACCACCCACTACATTTTCTTCTTTCTAGCTTATGTTGTTGTTGTGTCATCATTGATCTTGACAGATATTTGAACTTTTCACTTTTCATTTTCACAAAATTCTGTAGATTGTTCGTTGCGACCTCTAGTCTTTTTTTGGGGATTGACAGGCATTTGAATGTTAATTACAGATATAGAGTAACAGTAAACAGGGCTATGACTTTCTCTTAATTGTGGCATAGTTTGGTATAGAAAACTGTAAAAGCAATGGAAAGTGCTCGCTTGTATAATGTATTTGAAACTTCCAATCATTGCTGGACGATTTTTTTGATAATCTGTCTGTTGATTATACCACGGATTACTGGAGAAGGTTCGTTACTTTTATATATATTTGTTAAACTGAGAATAGATTGTTGCTAATGATTTATTACTTTCAAAGTCCCCTTTTTCTTTAGACTAACAAGCTTAAAAGTTAAGGACAATAGGTCCTGAACTTACAGTTACAAGTTCAAAAGTTAAGGACAATAGGTCCTTAACTTTGATTTCCAAGTTCAAAAGTTAAGGACAGACAGTCCTTAACTTACAGTTACAAGTTCAAAAGTAAAGGACAATAGGTCCTTAACTTTGATTTCCAAGTTCAAAAGTTAAGGACAAACAGTCCTTAACTTACAGTTACACGTTCAAAAGTCAAGGACAAGCAGTACTTAACTTACAGTTACAAGTTCAAAAGTTAAGGACAATAGGTCCTTAACTTTGACTTACAAGTTCAAAAGTTAAGGACGCTTGGTCTTGAAGTTTGAGTTCCAAGTTCAAAAGTTAAGGACATGTAGCCTTGAAGTCCTGAACTTAGAGTTCCAAGTTCAAAAGTTAAGGACATGTAGTCCTGAACTTAGAGTTACAGGTTAAAAAGTTAAGGACATGTAGTCTTGAAGTCCTGAACTTAGAGTTTCAAGTTCAAAAGTTAAGGACATGTAGTCCTGAAGT